TGGTTGAGCGCTGGGTTGCGAAGCTGCCCGCAGCCTCTGCAGCGCCGGTTCGATCCCCGACTTCTCTCCTACTCCCGGAGGAGGGTCCCGCATGGCGCGCAGACCTCTCCTGCCGCCCGCTGCTCCCCTCAGCAGTGTACCTCGGTCCTTCTGCCTGCTCTGCTTCCCGCTCTGGCTCTGGTGAATTCTCTCGCCCTCCTGCGCTTCTGACTGTACCCAGTGCTTGTATAAATACATAAATAAATCTTAAAAAAAAAAAAGAAAAAAAATGTCGCCCTTTAAAAAAAAATAAATAAAGTAATTATAGTGGCATTACTTCTGGTATCCCCAAACTGGAAAAAAAATGCCCATCAACAATGTGATGGTTAAACAAAATGTGGTATATTTCATGCAATGAAATGCTATGTAGCTGTGATAACAACCAATCTACAATCAGCGTGGATTGCTCCCATACAATCAACATACTATTGAATAGAAAAGGTCAGCCTCCTTAGAAAGACCATGTTCTTTATTATAATTCAAAAAACAGGTGAAATCTGGTGTTAGAGATCAGGATAGTGGTTACCCTTGGGGAATTAAGACATAGGCTGGAAGATTGGACACGAGTGGGCTTTGGGGATCCTGGTGATGCTGTTTCTTCATCTAAGTGCTGGTTCCAAAGGTGTGCTTCATTTTTGAAAATTCATCAAACTATTCACTTAAGGTTTGTGCACTTTTCTATACACATCTTAAAGTTAGATGACCATCGACACACCTCCTCTAACAGTCTCTCTGCAGTCTATTCTCCATTAACAGCTTGGTTCATATCCTCCCAGATTTTTCTGTGCCTATGCATAAATACAAAGAACACGCACACACATAATTTTTACAAAAGTAGTAATATGTTTTACGTGCTTTCCTTCAATATGCCAACAGTATGTTGGAGTGACCTTTGCATGTCCCTCCACATGGAGATCGGGATGATTCTTTCTAACAGTTGCACAGTATTTATTGTGGGATGTGTCTTTTAGTAAACTGGTCCCCTGTTGATAGACATTTAATTCCAGCATTTCACTGGTGTAAATGCTACTGTGGGAAACCTCTCCATGCATATCTTTGTGTACTTTTGTGATGGTAGAATGAATTAGTAAGAGCAGAATATTTTGATCTGAAGTGGTAATTTAAGATAGTTAATCTGTTAATGACTTGTTGGGTGGCTAGGTTGGAACCAGAGAGACCAGTTAGAAGGCAGTTAAAATAGCCTAGGCTCGAGGCAATTAGGGTGAATGACTGTGAAATTGGACAAGGGAGAAATGTAAGCGGTATTAAGAGCAAAGACTATATACTACCTGGCATCTGGTAAGGGTGGGGAAGTCAGAGAGATGCTGGGAGACTCTGCTTCTGGGTGGCTGGGAAGGTTGGGAACACACACCAGGAGTCCGTGCTGGATGTGAGTGGCCAGGTCACATTCTAGAACCCTGCTTATCCAGATGGCAGTGTCCAGAGTACAGTTGGAAGTATTGCTCTGGACAGAGCTAGGGGCTACAAATTGGGGCATGGGATTCATTTCTGTAGGATCATCCTGAGCTTGTAGGGCAGAAATGAAGGCAGCACAGGGGAGGATCTAGAGAGAGGTGAGGGCCCAGTGCATGGGAATGGGAGCACTAGTCTGCAAGATAGAAGGGGACCCACTAAAATTTGCCATCAAAAAGGCCCAAGAGGGATCTGAGTGACTATAGTTCAAAGGATGAAGTACTCAGTAGCCAACACTAGTCTTCCTCCACCGCCCCCCTAGAGGGGGTTATCATTACACCTCGTACTTGATCTTTAGAGCACTTAGCACCCCTGTGATCAGTCAGTATGGGCATCTTTTACTGCCTGTCTCCTGCTCTGAACTGAGCACCACGGAGGCAGGGCCACACCTCTCTTGCTTTCTCTCCCACCCCAGCCTCAGGGATGGTGTTTGGCACACAGTGGTGTTGGTACCCCAAATTGCTTCTGCCTCCTGGCAGGACTGCAGCTGTCTGCAGACCCACATGTACCCAGCAAGTTGGGGAAGGAGGGGCTTAGGACCCCGCAGAAGAACATTCAAGCTGCTCAGTTGCAGTTTTGGGTGCAGCAAGTGTGAGTGGGTAGCCAAAAATGGCTCATCTGAGCTCCATTTATATGTGTATCACAGAGGCCAGCCACAGTTGGTTCCCCAAGTTTCCAGGACTCAGATGCTAAGCCCGCCCAGTAGAGTGTTGTGATGACCTTGGATGATGCGGGCTCTTGTTTGCTCCCCTTGGCCCTCCCTTGGACAGCACAGCCTCCTGCATGCGTTATGCAACAGCTTCTCATCACCATGTTGCGTTTAGGGAGCAGCGTTTCTGGGGCAGTGCTGGAACCCACCTGTGCAAAAGTTTTGAATTTTCACTTCTTAGGGTGCCAGTCAGGGTAAGTGTCTTAGGTCAGGCTTCTCTAAAGCAGACCTTGAGATGAGGTTCATGTGCAGGTCTCCTGTGAAGGAAATGCCCCCCACCCCCGAGGAGACTGGGGGTGCTAGAAGCAAGCAGGAATGTGCTGTTGTTCTGGTCCCACTGGGCTCCATCTCAACTCCCGCCATGGGTCACTGGGGCCTGGGTTACACTTCAGAGTTGTTCTGCTCTGAGGCAGAGAACCTTCGATTAAGAGGGTCAAGGCCATAAATTCCCAGCACCCCTGCCTTTGTGTGGGGCCAGAGTGAGCTCGGTAGCCCAAGGGAAGATCTGACAGCAATGTTGACAGGCAGTGGCTTTCGGGAGCCAGTGTGGAGGGTCCTTGAGGAAGCTGGAAGCAGGGAATTGGGGGGATTGGATGGGACGTCATCCATGTCCTCTAGCATAGTCTGTGCCCCAATGAGAAGGACGCAGGGGCTGAAATCCCTCTCTGTCTCCCATCAGTAGGATTTTTTTTATCAGTGGAGACCAGCATGTAAAAGACTGTTTAACATCCCCATGAGGTCATCCAGCAAATGTTTGTTGAATGAAGGTGAGCGCGGCACTGGAGGGCTGAGATAAGACCCCTGTGCCCTGTCCCAACATTCATCGGAGATGGTCTGGTGGCCATGAGGGTGGCGCGCTGCAGTGGAGGCCGATGACATGGTGAGAGACGCCGTTAGTTGGTTGAAGGGGGTGGTGGAAGAGGTGAAGCCTCAAGCAGGCTTGCAGGAGGTGTGGAGAGAGCTGGAAGATGGAGAGGTGACAGTCAAGACCCAAAGAGCACAGGTGATGGGAGGACCCCAGGAGTGTGGGAGGAGGCGGGGTGGGTAAGCCACGGGACGGATCAGCCTTTGCCAGGAGGAGGGTCAAAGGGGCAGGTGGGGAGGCCTGAGGGTGGGGATATTAGGAAATGAGAAAGAGCAAGTCAAAAAGAACACATCTTTCTAGCCAAGTGGGGAGAAGAGCATCTATTGGGGTGAGTGGGGCTATGGAGTGGGGTGTGGGAAAGCCCTGGGACGGTCGCTTTAGGGACTGTGACTGAGTCGGCAAGAGATGACCAAAGGGGGCGTTATGGGGTGGTTGGAGCCACCATGGTCCCCACGTTGGGGACTTGAGGTGGGAACGGTGTCATGTCAGGGGAAATGCAAGACAGCTGGGGTGGGCAGTGCTGGGGAGCGTGGCGAGGTCTTTCTCTGCAGCGACAACGGCCGCTTTGTTTAGCACCCCCCGTGTGCCGGGCACCGAGGTAAACGCCATCTGGCCCTCTCCATAGCGCCACGGGGAAGATGCTGCTCGGCTTGCCCAGGCCTCGCCAGTAAAGGCTGCAGAGCTGGACCTGGGCCTGGGCCATTGAGTGCAGGGCCTGGCGCACAAGTGTGGTCAGCAGGATGTCGTGAGGTCCAGGTGGGAAGGGCTGTGGGGCCGTGGCCTGGCAGCCGGGAGCAAAGCTCACGCCTCAGCTTCACCTTAGTCTGTGGGCTGTGTTCTCGCTCATGCCCGGGCCGCCTCTTCCACGAGAAATGTGTCAGACCCTGGTGGGTGGCGATGCGGCTGGAGTGGGATCCAGGCCAGGGCTCAGTGGACGGGTGAAGAGCCCAGGTGTCCTGATGTTAACATGTTACTCTTCCATTTTGCTACTGGGGAAGTGGAGGCACAGGGAGGTTGAGCAATTTGCCCACAACCTCACAGACTGGGGAAGAGAGCCAAGGTTTGAACTTGGACACCGGTTTCAGAGCCACTGGTCCATATCAGCTGTCCTTAATCAGGGGTGACTTTTGTCCCCCAGGGGGTATTTGGCAATACCTGAACACATTTATTAGGGGCACCGCTGGACTGGAGGATGCTTCTAGTACCTGGTGAGCCAAGGCCAGGGACGGGGGAGACTCCCACGGAGCACAGGATCAGCACCTGCCACCAAAGTGCTATTTTTTTTTTTTTTAAGATTTATTTATTTATGCATACTGGGTACAGGCCAGAGGTGCGGAGGGTGAGAGGCCCACCAGAGACAGAGTAGGGAACAGAACAGGCAGACTGACCGAAATACACTGCTGAGGGGAGCAGCAGGCAAGACAGGAGAGGTCTGCTGTGCCATGTGGGTTGCTCCCTGGCTGGCCCGGAATCAAACTCATGCTGCAGAGGCTGCGGACAGCTGCGTAGTGCTGTGCTTAACCTCTTGTGCCACCAGGGAGGCCCCAAAGCACTATTTCTTGTGCTGCAATGGAGAAACCCTGGTCTGAATCCATGTAAAGCACTTGACAGTATGACACATAGTAGGTGCTCACTAAATAGTAGCTGAGGAGGAGGAGTAAAGTCCTGGAGAAGGTGCAGGGGAGAAGTGAGCTCAAGGGGAGGGAAAAGAGTGGCAGTTATGAGAACTTGTGTGTATGTTGGGTGAGCATGAAGGCAGGTGAGGCTGCGGGCAGGAAGAGGAGGTTGATGGGCTGGGGGTGGGGCCAGAACCGGGCAGCCACCAACCACTGAAACGCTAACCAGATGCTGCCTTTCTGCTCTCTCCCACCCTGTGTCTCTCTCCCCATCTCCCTTGGCCTTTCTGCCCGGAAGGGGACAGCCGGAGACTGAAGGGGGCCATCCAGAGGAGCACTGAGACGGGCCTGGCGGTGGAGATGCCCAGCCGGACGCTGCGCCAGGCCAGCCACGAGTCCATCGAGGACAGCATGAACAGCTACGGCTCGGAGGGCAAGTGAGTGCGGAAGAGCCGTGCCTCGGTGGGCATTGGCTCAGGGCTCCTGGGTTGTTCCCAGCTTCGGAAAAGGGAGGTAACAAAGCAAGGACACCCCGAGGGAGAGCTAGCAGCACCCAGACTGGGACCCAGCTGCTAGATTCAAATGGTGGCTCTGCCACTCACCGGCTCTGTGATCTGGAACAAGTGGCCCTTCTGTGACTCCATTTTCTTCCCTGTAAAATGGGGTGCTAAGAGTTCATCATAGTTAATCAACTGGTTAATACTCAGAGACCTTAGGACAGGCTTGCACGTAAGTTCTGTGTTGGTAAGTGAAGAAGGGGGTCAAGAGGGATTTTATCATGATCATTGTGCTTCCCTCTTCAGTTCCTTAAATCCCCGCTGGCTTTCGAATACATGCAGGACTGTTGTTGGGCAGGGAGTTTTGCTTACATTCAGGCATAACGCGTCAGCCCCTGCTGGCTGGAGTGCCTCTCCCCCCACCCAGCAGCCTCAGGGGAGCTTGTTACTAATGCAGATCACAGGGTCCCGTCCAGGCCGCTGAGCCAGCACATCCGGGAGTGGAGACCGGGAACACCATTGTTATTTTATCTTTTTTTTTAAAGATTTAGTTATTTATTTATACAATACATAAATTGTATAAATTTATACAAATTTATATTTGTATAAATATACAGTCAGAAGCGTGGGAGGGTGAGAGGATTCACCAGAGCGGGGAACAGGCAGACTGATGAAGTACACTGCTGAGGGGAGCAGTGGGCGCAGCCGGAGAGGTCTGCGCGCCATGTGGGACCCTCGCTGGCGGCTGGGGATCGAACCAGCGCTGTAGAGGCTGCGGGCAGCTTCACAGCCCAGTGCTCAACCGCTGCGCCCCAGGGGAGGCCCTGTTATTTTATCTTTAAGTTCACTTTTTATTGAAAACATTTTTTTTAACTGGAGCAACATAGGAGTTTCAGGTGTGTGTCACTTAAATGTATACTCCAGCAAGCTCCCCACTGAAAGTCCAGTTCTGACTGTCACACAACTGACCCCTTGTGCCCAGCTGACCCACTCCATCCCTCTGTACCATTTTAAATTTAGTCTTACAGTCTGAAAGTTTGTCTTTGTTTCACTTTGGAACTCATTTTTAAGACTCCCTGGGAGGGAGACCCCTTGGAGACTTTTGGGAAAGCTTTGGGTCTGCCTTCCCCGGAAAATACCTGCCCTGACATGCACACACTCATGTTCACCTGCACAGTCGTACAAGTACCTCCCGTAACTAGAGGTGCCCAGATTCCCCTAAAAGCCAGGGATCCCTGGCAAGGGACTTTGGTCCAAAGAGACCTGCTGATTGTGCGGATGACCAGGGACCTCAGAGGCAGGGAGCTTGCCCTGGTCACACAGCTTATAGCAGGTCGGGGGCCCAGGAGTCCTCCTCCCAGCCAGGGAGGGCCGAGAACCAGGACCCTCGTCCCGCACCGGAGGAGACGGAGGCCTGGGAAGATAATAAGTGCGGGGCTGTCCAATAGGGCAGGCACGAGGCCCTTTCCATGTAAATTCATTCAGATGAAGGAAAATCGGGGAATTCTGTCCCCTGTCTCGCCAGCCGTATTTCAGATGCTCAGGGGCCCCCACACTGGACAGTGCAGAGACGTTTTCCCCTTGGCAGAAAGTCAGTGCGGTCAAGTGGCTGCTCCGCCCGGGGCTGGCTCTGGCCCAGCACGGTGGGCCTGGCTGGAGCTTGGCTGCCCCATCTGCTCCCCTCCGGTTTCTGGTCCTGCCTCACAGCTGGGGGCTTCTGCCAGCTGAAGCCTTCCCACCCCCAGCCCCTCCTAAACTGGGCATCTCCGGCCTCTGTGAATGGCCGCGCCTTGGCAGATGCTGCTGTTCCACCCACCTCCCAGGGAGACTTTCCGGAGGGCGAGAAGAGGGGGAGGACAGGCGGAAGGGAGAGGAGGAGGAAGGAGGGAACAAATGTTTTCTTTAACCTGAGAAACTTGGCAGCAGAACGTGGAGGCAGATAGTCTAAGTATCTGGGTGGCAGTGGGGCCCTGCTAAATTTTAGGGGTTCAGGAGGCTTGGGTCCTAGTCCTGGCTCTGCCACTGACCCCTGGGTGACCTTGGGCATGTCCTTGGCCTCTCTAAGCTTTGGGGAATTCGGGAAATAGCTCATCGGGGGGCTCATGGGCAGGTGGCAGGACCAGGTCGCTTACCCAGAGGGGGGCTGGTGCAGTGAGCAGCAGGGATCAACCCATTTTACAGAAGAGGAGCGGGAGGCCCAGGGAGGCTGCAGGGAGTAGCAGGGAGGGAGTTGGAGAGAGAAGTGAGGTGATGCCTGCCTGTGACAGGGGCTTGGGAGGGCGCCCTGTGCTCATTGGCTGTAATTTGTTGTCAGGGACCAGGGAGCCTAATTGTATCACGAGGAGCCTCCAAACCAGGGCTCCAGAGTCAGATAACCTGGTTCACGCGCAGCATTTCTGCTTTTTGTTGTTGTTGTTGTGGGACCCTCGCCAGCGGCCAGGGAATAAACCGGCACCGCAGAGGCTGCGGGCAGCCTCGCAGCCCAGCGCTCAACCGCTGCGCCACCAGGGGAGGCCCAGCATTTCTGCTTTTTAATAGCTGTGTGGCTTTGGAAAAGTTACTTTATTTCTCTGGGCCCAGTTACTTGATCTGCAGAAAGGGGGCACTAATAGCATAGACTGTTAATAGAGTTGTTGTGAAGAGTCAATGTGTTTATACATGTAAAGGCAGTTAGATCAGGGACAGGCACACAGCAAGCCTGTGATTATTAGCTATTTTTATTGTTATTGGCTCAGGTGTTTTGCTACTGGCAGCCAAGTGCATCCTCCTGGCATAGTCAGCTCTCTGCCCCTCCCCAGTACAGTCACGTCTACTACGAAGCGGTCAGCCCTGAGGAAGCTTCGGTTGAAGCCTGGCTGTGGTAATTGTGATGATTTAAAGGTTTGGGGTGGGTGTCTTGGGCCTTGAGGAAGGATCAGGTGGGTAGAAGAGTGCCCGTCCTTTGGCGGCGAAAATCTTGCCCTGCTGCCCAACACCTGGGTGAGGAAGGAAAGTTAAAGGTGGGGATGTTGAGCTGTGGTTGATTTCTTCCTTGCTCTGGTGGTATTTTGGGCGCTGGTGAGACCCAGATGTTGGGCTCTGACACAGGAGGGGGTGTGACCTTCCCCCTGGGCTCCTGCCAGCCCAGCTGAGGCTCACGGGGAGCCAGTGTGCTCGAGTGGCCTCTGAGAGCCTATGGCCCTGATGTTGCAGGGCCTCGTTGTCCGCACGTGGGTCACCGCAGGTATCTCCACAAGTGCATGGCCGCTCCCTTGTGGACTTTTGACTTCAGCACGTTTGATCAAGCCCTACAATGAGCTGCACACCTTGGAGCCCCTGCCTTCTGCCGGCCAGTGTGTGGAGCTGACACACCCAGGCACAGAGAACTTCGGGGACCAGGGCTTGGGGCCGGGATCAATGCAGATCCCTGGGCTCCAGGTTACAAACAGCAGCTCACAATGACCTCAGCCCTTGCAGTTCAAAGTGTGGTGCCCAGTCCAGCACCATCACATCCCTTAGGAGCTTGTCAGAAATGCAGACTCTGACGCTCTCCCCAGACCCCTTGAATCCAGATCTTCAGGTGGTTCAGTCAAGGTCAAGGAGCCCTGGTATTGGTACTAATTTTCTGGAACTAGCACAACACTAGCCACAGGAGATGACGCTGTGCTAAGTGCTTTTACAGATATTGACTCATTTAACTCTCACAACAACCGGTGACCGTGGAACTGTTCATAGCCCTGTCTTACAGATGAGGAAATGGGAGAGGCTGAGCAATTTGCCAAGGTCACACAGCCAGTAAGTGACTTCGAATGCCAGGATTCAATCTGGGTATTTGGAGTCTGCCTTAACCATTATGCGCGTCCCCTCATAGAATGGCTGCATCGATGAGGATTTTGGGAGGTGAATGCTTCCAGGGTGGTTTGGTGGCTCAGTGGTACCCTTAAGGACCCCAAGTGTCTCCATCTGTCCCCTGCAGGCCTCTGCATGTTGGACCAATCCTGGTTTGTCCCCTGGGACTGGAGAAGAGCTTTCGTTCCTTGAAAGCTTCTCTGTTCAAAAATTGGGGTTCTGTGTACTAAGGATGGAAGGTTGAGCAGCTGTGGGTTTGGAAACGAATCAAGCTCTCACCCACCCAGAGCAGGTTCCAGCTCCCCCAAAGGGTAGGGATTCAGACCCCCAGAGAGAAGACTTCAAGAACAGTACCTCTCCTGGTCCTGAGGTATTCCTGAGGGCCCTGTGCTTTAATTTGGGCTCCCAGAACCAGATCTGAGATAGGGGATGCAGTGAAAGTAGTTCACTTGGAAGGTAATTCCAGAGAACCGTGAGGATCATGTGAGGTTGACGGTCGAGGGGGGTGTCCCATAACATGTGCTTAAGTTGCCACTTTGGGCAACTGGAGCTAAGTCCTGATGGGGACTCTGGGAGCCAGGAGGAAACCCTCTTGATGATCATCTCCGCGGAGGCCAGGGAGCCGAGGGACTTACACTCTGACTCTTATCAGCTACGGGTTGATGGCCGTTCCCTGTGAACCCTCCTGCCCATCCTGTGGCACAGTGGGCTCTGGAGGCCAGAGAAATACCTCAGGGGCCAGGAAACAGAGGACTGTGGGCGCTGGCAGAAGCCGGGGCTGACGTGGTACGCATCAGGAAATCTGGGGGACAGCAGAGCCTGCTACGCTGGCTGAGTGTACAACTCCAGAGCAGAAACCTGGGGTTCTGCCAGATGTCTCTCTCCTCTCTCCATACCCAATTCATAACTGGAATGTACCATTTCACTCCTAATTGTCTTTGACTCTAACCACTTCTCTCCAGCCCCACCCTCCGGGGGAGGCCACTGATGCTAAGATACTCACGAGTCTCCGTTTTGGCCTGAGTTCCATAGTCCAGCACTCAGCACTTAGTCCTCTGCCTGCCACTCTGTCTCCACCACGCACCCCCTCCCGAGACCACCTGAACCTCCCC